ACCAGGCCCAGTGACCATCGTGAGAGTGCGCAGCATAGCCGCGAGAGACCTTTTCCCAACCGGCGTGTCAAAGCTCGCCATCGCCTGCTGCGAAGTGCTCGCGGCTTCCCCTTACCGTGAACGTCCACGTGCGGGTGCCTTTGCCCTCCGCGTCCCGGGAGCGGACATTGTACTGTTGTTCGGGGTGCCGCTAAAGGCAATAAAGTATTGTGTATTTTGTATTAGAACACTGTCTGTTTGCCGCGCCGCGCTAAACGCCTTATTAGTTGAGCGCGCGTGGAGTGATTCGCTACGTGCGAGTACGTGGGGGAGTCGCGGCCCTGTGGTTCGCTAAGCATGAACCTGCGATGATCATTCGCTGCAGTTAATAGCGGGGTCACCATACACTCTCCTAGTGTTGTTGACATTTAGCCGTCGAGAATTGTGCTGCCGTCGAGGATTGTGCTGCATGCACGCATACTAATATTCTGAAGGGCGACGCGCGTGTGTGCCTGACGAGGAAGATGAAAGGTTGTCTTTGCTCGATACCTGGTCACGCCATTACCACTGGTTTCAAATACATCTATATCCACAGCCTCGTCGATACGGCGTCTCTTCTTTTCTGTAACAATATTGTCACGAGGTCGTAACATTAAGAAAGGTAGCAGACAGTAGGTCGAAGAATAAACAAATTATCCAGGCCGAACTTGTGGCCAACAAATAAAAAGTGAGATTACAGGGAGGCCCTGACACTGATAGTGGTGGGCAGAGCGTCGGATGTCGATCAACTGACAAGGGGCGAAGAGCCTTGGCATTTATACACTTGCCATCAAATGTTCTAGTGTTATCGCTAGCGGCGACGTGGGTTCCAGAATAATCTGTACTGTTCACGATGTGGGCGTAATCTTAACACAACTATCTACTACAGCGTTGAAGCTTTTCGAACATTGTAGGCACGGTTTGCGCTGAACGTAGTGTAACGGGGTGATAACAAAACTTGAGGAAAGGAACGTGGCAATATTGTTGCTCACTTGGCAAATGATGCTGCTGCAAATTTCTCGAAGTGGATACGCTAACCTGGAAAAACTATGTACGAAATAAATTACTAATAATTTTATTATTCAATCAATAATGTAATCGGATTGGCACACAAGTACACTTCGTGAATTAAAGTAATCGAGCTTAAGACCACAGATATAATATTGTCTCTCACAGTCTCCCAGGTAATGTTTCTTAATGGTGAAAACACACTGGTGTTTATATTGATACGTATATATGAGAGCGTTAGTTGAAATCACAACGCAATATATTTTATGCCACCCTAAATAAATACACGTTCTTTTACTATGCTCATTCGGAAACCAAGGCCAGCCCGATGTGTTGCTGACTGCTCACCCCGACGAGTATTTGGCACACTCGACGTTTACTCGACCACTGACGGTTGCTTTAACCGTGCAGCCGACGTGTGTTTGGCGCGCTCGGCATTCACTTGTCCACCGACAAGTGGCCCAAACCACGCCGCCAACCAAGTACCAACGTAGCCGGCAGCACACCTCGGGCAGATCTTTTTCAAATGTCTGGGGGCCAGTGAAGTCGGCTGCTGACTACGTGCCAGCCATCCACCGATTGTTGGCATTCGGTCAAGGTTGCTTATGTAAACAACCAGACACCATTTTGAAAGGGGTACCACCGTGACGTCTCGAAATCTGCAGAGCGCTCTAAAGCTTCTGATCGTATCGCCATGCCTGTAAACGCAAAAAAAGTACTGCACGGTGCACCTATTTGGTCGCAGGAAACACAAATGTTGTGGGAGAAAATTCATGAGGTCATCAGAGTCCTTGGTTGACTCCGACGAACAATATGTCAAGGCTCCACCGCCGTTCATCGATGGTGCAAGTGAGTGCGTTGCCTCTGCCGACGATGACGGTAAAAGTGAACTCCAGGCAACTACAAATTGAGGCAAAGGTGATAAGAGACACAGAAGTCGAAGAAAATCGTGCACGAGAAAAAACGACCCTCGAGCGGCTTTCATCGGAGCCAGAAACAGCACGGAAAATTTACTCTTTCACCGCAAATCATATCAAGGCAACAACACACGACTCTGACCACGCAGCTCCTTATCTGCTTATGCATCCAGATATGCTAAACTAGATAATGGGTGCCTTGTGTTGCAAAACCTGCCACGGACCAGCTACAATAATCAGAGGGGATCGGACTATGAACTTGCCATTGAAAGTGCTAGTGCAATGTGAAAGGTGCAGCGAGATGGCGAATGGATGGACTTAGCCTGCGAACGGCACAAAATGTGTAGTTCGTTTGAAGTAAATCTTCTCGCTTTGAGAGTGATGGTGTCTATTGGCAATGGCCAAACAAAAATGAATGATATTTTCACAATAGGCATCTCACACTGCGGTATGCACCACGCAACGTTTTAGCAGCATTTCAAGAATACAATGGCACTCGATGCAACGTGAGCGGCTGAGCTCACCATGAGTGAATATGTAAAAAAAGTTACTACAATTTATTGTGCTTTGGCCACTAGGCCAATATTGCTGTTAGCTAGGATGGCACGTGGAAGACGCAAGGCCATTCTTCCCACATCGGAGCCGGCACAGTTATCAAATTATTTAGTGGCTATGTGTTGGACTACGTAGTTTTTTCCAACTTTGTGACCCCTGGCGGAAGGCAGGCCTTGGTGGCGGGCGAGAGTTGAGCGAGCCTCTTCTGCGCCTGGCGGTTGCCGCGAACGGTTGTCTCTAGCGTGGGTCCTCGGCGCGGGCACCGCGGGCTTGCTCGTCCAAGGCCCTCGTGGTAAGTCAAGCGTTGGCGATGCTGCCTTGGGTGTGTTAGTGTGTTTGTCGTGTTATTGTGTAACGATGTCCTAGCGTATTACATAACGAGCTATGTATCAATTCTGCGGACGATATCGTCATTATAAATTAGTTAAATAAATGTATGTTTGTTATTTGATCTGTACTGACTGCGTCTGGTGCGTCCTTCCACTCTAAGAGCATGGTGGTGTCGCTCGCCATATCGAGACCCCACACTGGTCGAGACCCCACAGTGTTCTCTATTATGAACACAGCCAGTCTTCTACTCAATCAATAGGAGCAAGCTGTGATGTTTGTTTTCCAACTGATCAAGTGAAGAAAAATCCCAGAAATGTTCTAGCAGGCAACAACGATGAGAAAACAGTGACAATCAAAGTTGCTGGCGTGGCGTCAGTCATCAGGTTATAGCATAGTAGAGGCTCACAACAGCAGACGGTTAACAAAAATAATGAACTAGAATCAATGCAAGTTCACTGAACTAACACAATATAAACATTGGTAATGCCATAAAATGCAAAAAAAATGCCCCCCCCCCCCCCCATACGGTGAAGTATAATACGATTGAATTTGGGAGGGGGGAGCTTGCTCGGTCCCGGACCAAAATTCAAGATTGCAGCAGCAGAGCCACTAAGAATATACAAAATCCATCCATGTTTTTAGTGAAGCTTTAGATCCATGTTTTTAGATACGCATTCAGTAAACTCATTATTGTGGTTCTTTTTACAAAAACGATGCTCGTTTTGAAGAAAAAAATTAACACAGGGGAGTAGCCAGAGGGGGGGTGCTAGCTCGCTTACTGGAGCTCACTTCAGATCTCCCAAAAAAGGGAGGCGGGACACTTGCTTAGGTGGGGGCACTTGCTCGGCATTTTAAGGTAGCCACCTCCGTCTTGCAAGGTCCACGTCACTGTGCTTCTCTGTACAAGCATGGCAGAGGAGCTTGCATTCTTGGTAACAAAGAAAACCTTCAAAGGAGACTTCAACTGCTGACTATATCTAAAAGGAAGAGCTGAATGACAAAGAGAGGCAGAATCATGAGACATGTCTTTTGTTAGGTAACTGTGCCTGCAACTACACAATTGTCATGCCAGATCTTCGGCTCTTGACCACTAACCGTACAGCATTGGTACGGCCTCTAGATCAAGACGCAAGAATGCTTCATTGTTGGATACTGAAGGCACGTGGTAGACAGGATAGTGCTTAACATGAGCTGAACTGCGACATGACGAAAGATTTGCACATGGAAATGGAGAAGCAAGCCATCGCTATCGCTAACTGCTTTCAACATGCGTCCCTTGCAGGTGACCATAAAAGCAGCTGTGGCACCCCCCAGCGAAATGAACAGCAGTTCAATCCGATGATAGTGCCACATCAGAAGAGAACCTCTACTAGCATCACGGAAGGTGCTGGTAGAGTGAGTGACGGTGAACACTCCTGTGATTTTATTGAAGAGCGAATGCTAATGCTGTGGCTCAGCTGAACAGTGATAACTGTGCGCATGGCACTGCCAAGGTGTGCGAGGGAAGCAATGACAACTGTGCCGAGGACGATGACTCCATGTGTGAACATGCCAGTGTCCTCCCAAGAGCTTGATGCATTTCACCTGCTGCGCCACTACTTTGGCAAGCACAGTGAGACTGGTCTTGATATACAAGCTCCATCTGGATTAGCGAAAATGCAGCAGCAGCAAAGCACTACACACTTTTTTTGCATCATCAGCTTATAAGACAATGTGGCCAGGATCAAGCGCAATAAATGAATCTTTGTGTGTTTGATCCCAGCTTTTCCTTTTTTTTTTTTTTTCAATTAGTACTTAGCTGTGAATACAGCCACTCAGCAAAGACAGGAGCTGACACTTCAGGGATAACTTACATTTAGTCAGTACACTCTTGCATACAATAAGTAGCCATACAATAAATAAACAATGGCTATAACAAACCACTAGATAGGCAAAAATAAATTTAGCACATGATCTCTTTCGTTGTAACAAGATCTAAGTAAACACGAATTCTGGCTAAGTGATGATCTGCTGCGAAATTTTGTTGCACATTGATCTTAACATCCCACTGCAAGAAAAGTGAGTAATTTCTTTTGAAAGACTGCTTTCTTTCTTTTTGTGTGTGCCCAGAAGTCAGTATAAATGACAGCTCTCTACAGCAGAAGGTCAAGTTGGCAAGAGCAGGCACATCACCTTCATGAAGACCTTCTGCACCAGCACCAGGTGGTTGAGCAGGTCAGTGGTGAGGCTGTGCTCAAAGGTGCCAATCTCGGCCAGGGCACTGAGGTAAGAACCTCGACGAAGCACTACACCATCGGCATCCCTTTGCGAGGGGCCACCTGGGTCCTGGAGATATTCAGCTGCCACCTGAACCGGTGGCAGCTCCACACTGGCACGCGATGGCAGGTTGGCTTCACATGCAGGCGGTACCTGCATCGAGGAGGAGGGCACCTTTGCAGGCAGCAGGGATGGGCAGCGTGCACGTCGCCTATACCTTGGTGTTGAAGCTGAGTGAGTGCTGAGGCAAGTGGACGGTAAAACGAGCCTGAGAACCCGTGCAGCCAGAGCCAGTCAGGGGCCCCATGTGGTAGTGTGCTCGCAGAGATGGCAAGAGGGATGCCCCAGTGGTCAGTCCCTCCAGCAACAGGTCTAGTCTCACCACTGGTGGCACACTTCGTGAATTCATCACTGGTGGCATGGGGCTACCTTGCTGTAAACAAAACCACAGAAAACGAGAGCATTCTCAGACTGCAAAAACACTGCGATTCAATTACTCATAAGTACACACAGCGCAGTGCCCACCTCAAAGCCCAGCTCAGTCTTGCTACAAGAGAACAGGGCGCTTTCCTCCCCATTGTACCATTCTCTCCTATCAGTCTATTAAACTATAAGGTGCTGAAATTTTACTTTGGCAGTTTTATAGGGGCATGTGAATTCTAAAAATTTTAAATACTGTTATGGGTATGGAAATGCCATTCTGGCGTGGCCACTGAAGTGGAGCTAAAGAACAAAGACGACAAGGTTGCTTTTGTGGGGTTGAGTCTGGGCACCGCTGCCTTGTGATTCTGTATATTTTGTGCAGTACTATCTCAATCAGTGCTAATTGATGACAGCTGGAAAAATACTCCCCCTCCCCCGTAAGATAAATTTGCCTGAGACGACTTGAGCATGAAGACTATAAGCTCTTGCTCCTGTTCTACTTCTCAGTTCACTGCACTGACTGGCCCCCGAAAGCTTATTGCATGGTTCTGGCACAGTGCCTGCATAAAAGGCAGCTGTTTGACCAAGCAAGGAGTCAAGTCATGACATCATACTGACATTACAAAACTCAGGGACGTATGACATAAAGATGATGCCACAATATGATGTGCCGCTTACCTACAGGACAAAAAACTGAAGGACAGGTCAGTTTGTTTTCACCATCTTGGTTGTTGTTATCCTGATAACTCTTCATGTGAGGATATTTTAAATACATTCTTCTCTCATGTATATATAACATTTTTGATGGGTATGCTGGGTATTAGCCCCGAGAAGTCGGGGTGTCACCTCCAGGCACAAGGCCTGGGTGAGGTCACGGCATGGACTTTTAGATTCCTGCCGCGACATGCCTACACAGTAATGCGCTCGCTTCCTGCGCTGTTCTGCTATTAGCGTAAGCTTTATGCTTGTCTCAAGCTGCGGATAAATGACAAAAACAGAATCACTAATGTTTCTGGTAAAACATTGAAAAATTGTGGTGTCATTCTCCATTATATGTGTTTTCATCGTACACCACTGCACGTTCAAGCACTGCGAGCTCTAAGCAGGGGTGCCACGTGCTCGTTTGTTCGTCTCGTCCCGCCATGTATACTATTCGTACTGCTGCGCACGCGAGCTCCGACCATCGCCACAAATGGGTCGTGAGCCCGTGCGCGCGCAGCGACAGAAAACTTCGGCGACACTCTCCTAATAGTTCGTTTATTACTGAGAGTTTAGTGCAGTAAAACATCAACCATTCGATATAACTCAATTGCACGTGACATAATTATACAGACATGTCAATGCGATAATACAAGTTATATGGTGGCCTCGAATGGTGCACTGATAAAACAACCAAACAAACCAAATAAACAAAGAACCAATTTCGAAGTGCCACTCTATATTTCGGCCAGAGCTCCCACGATCGCGCACCCTAGACCATGCAGAATAGACATACATAGGGACAGTTTAGAGGCACAAATGCATAATTGCAAGGCGCTGCCTCGAGACTTCAGGATCGTGAAAACTAGCGCGCACCATAACCACTGGCCAGCGGCGACGAAGAACAAAGGACAAAGGATCGCCGCCGGCCAGAGAGGCCAAAATGCATATGCATCCTCTGAAGTTCCCAAGTGGTCTCCTGTCCGAATCTCAACAAAATTAGGCCAATGGGACACGGTGTTAAACTTTGAGGGACGGGGATGGCAGCAAAGTGATGGCAATTTATGACCAGTCGCCATTCGTCCCGTCGGGAGGAGAGTAATGCCAGAACTCTCCAAGGTAAAATGGCGTCGAGCGACTGGCATAGATTGCCACAATGTTTACTTTTGCTTCTGCACAATCGCATGCTTGGTTGTAGGCAATGTGAAAGGGGTGAAAAGGTCTGTGTCGCACTGCTAACACCAATGATGAATTCTGTTCCTGGTTATGGCAGCCGCACTCCAACGGCTGTGAAAAGCAAGAACACTGCTCTTTTTAGGTACAACAAACTCACTTGCGCATAATAATGTCATTTTGAGACACAAGACCCCAAATTTACATTATGAGGTTGAGTTGTTCATGGGTTATTCAATTAGGAGATATGAGGATTTCCCTTCTCTAGGGTTACTTGTATTGAAATAATTCTGGTATCTATGGAGAGTGTTATCACTGTTGTGCCAAGCCCTGTGCTCGCATGCGGTATCAAGCCTAGCTAAATATTTCGAATGCACTAGCCTTAGAAAACCGCTACCGTTGTTGTTTGTTCATCTCATCACTCAGCTCGTTATTTAGTTTCCCACATCTCTTGCATTAATCTTGGAGTTCCATTTCACTAAAATTATTCAGGTTAAGTGCACCTCAATTTATGTGCAAAATTTCTGATTGCTGTCAGATTCTGTTTTCGTGCAGAATTCTAACAACGGGGCTGTTGCGCTCGTAATTACTAGTTTAGATAGCCACCTCATAATATTATTTTTCTTGCAATCGATTACCTGTAGATAGATATGACGTGCGAGTCCAGTCGTCACCTCATCGAGAAAAAGGTTGTTTATTATTACGTGTACCATGTTGAGTGTGCCGCACGGGAGTCTGCCTATCTTAAGCTAAATTATGAAAACTTTCTACACCTTGGATAACTTTCACTAGTTGTGAAACCAGGAGAGGACGCGATTGATCTTCGCAGAATTCAAACAATGAGTCTTTCCCAATCTTCAAAGATTACACAAAATTTTTCCAATGCTGTATGGGCATGCGTGTCCGTGGTATGGCGGCTCGCCATCGCTTTACCACATTTTGTCGAGATGCCTACACCGACCACCAAATTTAGATACCCCTTTAGGTCAGCATAAGCTTTCTAATACTTTCGAGCAATGGGAGGCACAGCTCACCAGCTCTGACCCAGAGGTGTGGCTTGCACTTCTGCGTCAAGCCAGGCAGGCGGCAGCAGCCAGAGGAGCCTTGGACTTGGGGCCCTACACATCAAGCTCATGACCCCTGTCCCAAAGCCTTGCGAATAAAAGTTTTTCCTTTCTTCCACCTTGTACCTAGAGAGATTCCCGTCATGAAATTGAGGAGGAATGAACTAATCTCTAAAGAGCGGGTACATGCCGGGCGCAGAAAAAGGCGACAAGCGGTGGCGGAGTAGGCAAGTCCCTGCCGTGACGTCCCATCGCCGCGATTGCAATGACACCAGTGTTCTTTCTCGGGGCTAATACCACATTTACTCAGGTAATAGCTGCACTCGCACAATAAACGCGCCCCCTATTGTGCGGATCTGAGCCAAGCCCACGATCATTTCATGAGCATTTTCGTCGTACTGCCGCTCTCCTTGCTTCCTCTAGTGGTTTCGTGATGGCGTGTGGCAATAAATGGCACCGAGCGTGGGCACGGTGCGTTGCTTCGGGGCTGCGAGAGTCAGCGAGACCAAGTCATGGCGTGTTGGGAATGCTCTCTCTCTCCTCGGTCAGCGCATGGTAAGCAAATGTTTTCCCTTCATTCGCGTCCCCTTTGGGAATAGTCGTGCTGTAGCCTGCCTGGGTGCTTCAGCATCCTCGGCGGGCGCTAGCTCTGGTTCCGAACGATGAGTCAAGCAGCAGTGCTTAGTGTTCGAGTGTGGTTCTACTACGCCGAGCCGCATTTGCCAGAGGCCTATGCGTACGAGGTTTGCTCTAACTCTTGTGACCAGGACCAGTGACCATCGCGAGAGTATGCAGGATAGCTGCAAGAGACCACTTCCCAACTGGCATGACAAAGCTCGCCATCGCCAGCTGCGACGTGTGCACGGTTTCTCCCTTTGGTGTAAGTCCACATGGCACAAAGCCTTTCTTTATTGTGTTCCGGGAGTGGATGTGGTACTATGCTTGGGGTGCCGCCAAAAGCAATAAAATGTTTTTGAGTGTTGTTAGATCAAATACTGTCTGTTTTGCCATAAAGCGCTAAACATTTGCTAGTTGAGAGCGTGTAGAGCCGTGCGCTACACGTGAGCAGGTGACAGTATATGCAGCCCTGTGGCTCGCAAAGCCTCAACTGGCAGAGATTTCGTTACGGTGAGTAGCAAGGTTACTACACACTTTAGTCATCATACATTAGATTTTTTTTCTCCAACGTAATAAACGTCCCCCCTACACTGATCCGCTGCAGTCCCGTGAGCCGACACGTGGCACCTCCTTAAGCGTAGATATTTTCTGTTTTTTATTATGCTGATCCCCCTAAGTTCACTCCAATCCCCACTTCTGGGTGCCGCTCTTTTTTTTTTCTATCAGTGTACGCAAGGCTGGGCAAAGATACATTGAAATTGTCTCACAATACATTACAAGATAATCGATCAAAAAGCCCTGTAAGTGTGTGAATCTGGATGAAACTGACTGCATGGAGTCTTTCGATGTGGTTTCTTTTTTCACCAGTGCACTCGTTCTCTTCGCACCAGCTAGTGCATCACTGTCTAATTGCCCCCCTTCCCCCTCACATGATCCTTTCATTAATCAATGAAGTGGTCTACCTACTACATGATTTAGTGCTCACAATTCAGTGAGGACATAAAGCTGCAGTGATTTTTAATATTCTACATATCCGCTTGTGTAAAGTGTTTGTTAGCAAATTATTTACTAACGTGCAATCTTTTATCATTTTATTTTCGAGAGAACTTATGCCACCCAGAAACTTCCCAGGTGTATTGTATGTGGCAAAAAGCATTGCAGGTTATCACTGCTATCCACATTATTTCAACTTCTAGCTCTGCTTGCCTGCTTATTTGTAACACCATAAACAACAAAAAACTTACAACCTAAAAAAAGAAAATTAATATACCCGAGTCAACAACAAGGTAGTTTCATATAGAACAGTGACAGTAAATAAGCATACAGGATGTTTTACAAAAGTAAAACCCAATATTAAATAAAAAAAACATTGTCACAAACTAAGCTTAAATCACATGCACACCACTTCGAACAGCCACACCGAACTCTTTTATTCCCAACACTCAACCCTTACCCT